GTCTCACAGTGGTGTCATGATGATCTTATAGTTCCTGGCTGATGAGCAAGTATGAAGGCTTTACATCATGGGCAGTCTCCACTCTTACCTGCTCTTAATGGTTTCACTCTGTTGGAAATGAGATATCTGCAAGAGGCAGCTCTCTTCTCCCTGGAGACTAATGCATTTGGAGAGTCCACGGTTGGAGTGGAACGCAATCGGACAGCGAGGAGGAATGGCCTCGTGGGGAGATATATCGATGTAGACGTTTTCCTAGCCCATTACCGGGGCACCCGGCGCCCAAACAAACCTGTGGGGTGGATTCTGCGCTAGACAGTAGACGTGATCTAAATGAAAAGAGCTGAGTTTTTCCAGGATCACTGTCTATACGTCAAGCTCTCTACAGCCACAGGCCTGAGGGAGGTGAATAAATACACTAATGTCTTTCCTCAGGCTAGCCTTCAGTTAGCAAGCTACATAAATGAAGTGGGGGGGGGGCTTATAAAAACAGCAGGGTTGAGTATCTTACCAAAGGATACTTCAACATGCAGGACGGGGGAGCCAGGGATCACTCTACAACCTGAGTCACAGCCGCCCCATATGTACCTACAGTATATTCAGGTTAATAACAATAGAGAGCTATTGAAATAACCTATTTTAACTGATCAGATTTTTTAATTTTACCGTTTCCTCTGAAGTTCATGTCAGCAGGAACAATTCCTTCCAAAACCATTTCAAATCACATCTGCCACCACTATGGTAAAGGTTTGGTTAGATGTGGGGACACAAACTACTGGGTTAGTGAAAGATAGGGGTCAGGGACATTTCAAGCTTTCAAAAAACTATGAGCTCCCAATAATTTTTACTAGTGTGGCAGTATGTGTTCATCATCATCCTTAAGATTGCTCTCTTATCAGTGGTCTCCTCCAATGCTGTCCTCTAACTTACACTGAAACTTTATGTGGCCCTCCACAACAATCTCATTTTGGGGAATACACTTTCCACTTTCTTAGCACTAGAAGCCAAGTCCATGGAGTTCTGTAAATGTCATGGAAATCTGCCTTTTACATTTTTTCCTGTGCAGAAAGTTGAAATATGTGATATCATGGGATAGCATAAACAATAATAAACATGTGTTGGTTAGGTTTAGGCACCAAAACTACTTGGTAAGGTTTAGGAAAAGACCCACAGTTCGGGTTAAAATTAGTTGATGACTTCAGTTAAGTTACGTACCTAAATTAAGGGTAGGGATTTGGATGTAATTTAAGTATGTTACCTTTCTCTCTACATTGATTTTGACATCACCTGACATTTTTTTCTCTGACATTCAGACATGACACACCGTCTTGGCACAATGTAAGTCAGTGCAGTGTAACGCGAGGAATGACTTAAGAGATCAGCGTGTTACACATTCACCATGTGGTGATGTCGGGCTGATATATCACTTCAAGATGAAAAGAAAAATCAGCAAGTTCTGTGGTGCATGAATATCTACAGCACATTTCATGACAATCTGGCCTGTAAATCATGTCATCCACAGGTCAGTATTATCTGTAGGGAGTCCAGCTGCCCCAGCTCCACAGTAAGCTGAGTTTGACAATATTCAGTCTGCTTTGTCATTTCAGGAGGATCTTTTAGCTCTTTACTGTTAGGTTGGAAGCTTTGTCAGCAGACAACGCTGACAATATCCAAACAGAAAGTCCTTGGATTATTTTTCAGAGCTACAGATCAAACTAAAGACAAAACTTCTACAGACCTTTTCATTTCCTTTTCTACACACTGTAACCTGCAATGACACCACCAAAGAAGATCCCTCTGAGCTGTCTACCCACGGCTGAGCTGGACTGACATATCAGAGCTACGTTGCCTTAGTTGCCTCTTACTACCCTTAAGCTAATGTGCTGAACTCACTGAGGCACACACACAGCTGCAGAGAACATCCAGCAAAGTTAAACTGGCGGGACCTTAAAATGTTCTTTGAAAACACAAGACCGATCAGTAAGAATTCATCATTCATTAATCCAAACCAACCCAGACTTGACTTGTGTCTGGTGCAGAATTGATAATAACACGTCATGTGAAAGGAATACTTTTTATTTTGGGAAATCCACTTAGTGTGTATGAAACAGCATTTGGATTTGTGATGTGAGAAATTTACAAAGTTGCGGCCATCATAACTGGTCAGTAGCTTGGACCATTTGAACAGCTGCCAACATATCAGATTCTTTCAGTCTCCAGGTAGGCAGCTAGATTTAGTGAAATAAAGTTTGTAACTCCCTGATGCAGGTGGTGTGGTGGTGTGGTAGGTTAATTGGTGTCTCCCAAATTGTCCTTAGGTGTGGATGCCAGTTTGTGATGTTCCAGTCAGGATGCTTTCTATTGCTCCCCTGTAAAAGAAGAATTTGGCACAGAAATTTTGCTTCCTTAAGAAATACAGTCTTTTAAGAGCTTTCTTCACCAGCGTGGAGATGTGAGATGACCATGTCAGGTTCTCTGTAGTGCTGATTCCCCACCTATTGTTGCTGCCTGAAGTGGGTGGGACAGATTCCTCTCTACTGACCCTTTTCACAGACAGTTTGACATGTCACAGTAGGAGAAGTAGGTATAAATCATGGAAATGATTGCTTTTATGTTGACTATATCATCTGCCCAGATAATTCACCTGTGTGTTTGTTGCTGCTGTTTACATTCCTCCAGATACTAATTCAAAAAAGCACTACTGTATGTACTGTATGAGGTCATCAGCAGTCACATGACAAAACAACCGGATGGTGTTTTTAATAAAGTAAGTTTAATAAGTTCAACGAGGAAGACTATCTTTGTGCTGATTCATTTACACTCTGGCCCACACTCACAGACTCACAGACTTTGACGATCGTTCCTGCTGAGTCCATGAGGGCTCAGGGCTGCCCCACTGTCAAATCATCAAGTGTGCGAGTGCTTTCTTTCAGAAATTTTTAGTTCTTTTTGCAACTTTTTGTAAGTGCACATTTCTTCAGACTTTGTCTGAGTGAATGGGCTACAGTTCATAGCAATGTGACGTGAAACACATCGGTTACCAGGGGATGCCCAGAAGGGAGGGGAAAATCACGGCAAACCCGCCTTATAAGAGAAGAAAGAAGATCGGTGAACAAACAAGCATGGAAGGAGCAACCAACCCTGATGTTAACATTGTTAACAAAAAAAGTTTTATTCCTATTTATAGCATTTTGAGACCTTGCAGCCTCTTGCACTCAATCACTTACCAGGCGACGTCAGTAAATTCTGTGAAGATTCAGGGCTTAGGGTTTAGGGGGGACATTGAGATTCGGTTCTCTTCCTGCCTCTCTAACAGCTGAATATGGGAAATATAAATAGTCACATGCCAAATTTAGAGTTTTTCTGCATTTACTCACTATCTTCTGTCTTTTTGGTTAGGCCATGTTTGACAGCTGAGGTCAAGATGACTATGACAGCTTTGAGTGACAGGGTTTAAACTAGGATGTGCAGTGTACATACAGTGCAATTTATTAGACATAAGCTCAAGCCATAGTCTAGTTTATTTTAAAAAAAATTCACAGGTGGCCCGCAAGATGTTGTTTGGCCCCTCTTGCACTAGACCATGTTTACAAAAATTCCTAACCCTCCCCCCATTCCCAGTTTTATTTCTCTGCTTCTCCTGCCCACTTACACCCATCTGAGTGTCAAACCATCAATAAAAACAGTCAAAGTGGAAACAGATGAAGCTACAGCAGATATACAGTACTGGCATATGTTCCGAAAGGCAGCCACTCAGGAGAACCACATCCGTGAATATGAGTAAAGCTGCGGGGCCTGTTAATATGCAGCATGCTAGAGCCCAGTTGTTGCAGGAACTTGCCGGTGGAAACTAGGGAGTTTGTTGTGTCTGTAGAGGAACTGCTAGAAAGATTTTATTTACTCATATTACTCCAAAACAAGAAACTCCTCTGTCCAACTCTGACTCACAGTTGTCTTCCTTGCCTCTACTTAGGGTTTAGAATTGTCCTTGAGCAGTTGCTTGTTAAATCAACATCATCAAATGTTGTCATCAGCACAGCAAAGACTGAGCTCTCAGAAACAAGGAAGAAAAGTTATTATTATATTATTTAAAATAAGCAAAATTATCTCCGAACAAGAATATTTCACTTGCTACTTAAGGACAAAAAAACTTGAAACAAGTGAAATTCTCTAACACAAAAGCCGCCTGGTAAGACGAAATATCTTGTCAGACAAAAAACAAGTATATTTTGCCTTGAATTAAGATAATTAATTAATCTAACTTACTTAGATTTTAGTTTTTGCAGTGAGGAGTCACACATCCAGGTGTCTTTCCATGATGTTATCAACCACCTTGTGTAACAGTCTGAACATGTCTGTGGCAAAAAGAAGATTTTTTTGTGGATGTAATTTTGATGGGCACAATTGCACTGAAGGAATACATTGCAGCCACTGCAGCTGGTTTGTGACTGCTGACTAAAGCCCTCTGCTGCACAGATTCCAAAACTTCCTTCCTAGTAATATCAGCACCAAAATAAGTGAAAATAGGGACCAGGTTTAAAACTAGCACCAGTATCCTTTAAATATTCTTTGAACAGACTCTCCCTGTGAACTGCCAGTGGTTTCCGGTTACATAAACTCGCTGAACTTCAGACTTAAAAAAAAAAAAGTCTTTACCATATAATTTCAGACATTCTGTCTATCTAAAAACAAAAACGCTTTAAATATCTCTTGAGAGATATTCTACACAATATTCCCACATGATTGAAGATGGTTTGCAATATTTATTTTTTACATTTATAAGTTGTAGTTTTTATTTACTGTTTACTGTGTTCTGTCTTGTGTATGTTTGTACAATTTATTTCTGCCTTTTATTGCTTGTGTTTTGTGATTATTTTATTTGTTCTCATATACTCTGTATTCTTATTAGTATTTTATTGTAGTGTTATGTTGTTAATAAAGTTTTGTGTTTTTTTTTAACTCGCTGGCTGCCGGTCGGCAAGGACAATGTTCACACATGCGTGATACAAATCGGACAGGAAAAAGCACGCGCGTGTGCAGAGCGGATCTGGCAGCCTGCACGGCCTACATCTCAGGTAACACCATGCATGATAAGTCTTTTAATTGCAATATTTTTGAACTGTGTTTGGGTTGTGTTGTAACTTAAAACTAATAATGCATGAGAAAGTTTTTAAAATAGCATAAGGGTAGGTACGTCACTGTAGCAATTCTATAATTTTATATTTTTTGATAAAAGATCTTTATGTTTTTTAACAGCGTTTGGAGCTAATTGTAATCAAAATATGCAATTAACACCGTGAAGCCAACTCATTCATTTCATGCTGCATGGATGAAAGAAGGATTAGGGAATGTAAACAGTAAAATGTGCAAATGATATTAAATCAATTATGTGTCCCTTCAGACAGTCTCCTCCCTCCACACACCTGGAAACTGGCCGCTTTGCAGCTATGAGGACATTTGTGACGCGGAGTCAAGCCAGGCAGCTTCTGCACAACAAGTTCGTGGCGGTTCTTGGTGGCTCAGGTGAGATACATGTTATATTTATAACTGTATTTGTATCTGTTGAGATTGACATTGTGAGATTGTGTTTGAAAGATCTAAATCCTGTTCTCTCTGTTGTCTAAATACTAAAATGTTTCCTGAAATATTTTAGGATTAAATTCGTGAACGAGAGAATGTGCCAGCCTGGATTCATAGTCCCATGTTCAGTTAGCAGAAGCAGAATCTTATATTTCTAGTAGCTCTGCCCATGGCTCTGCTCCTTTTCAAGCTTTTATTTTTCATCTTAATTGACTGTCATCTTTGAGGTTTTGCTGCTACTCGATGTAAGTGAAGCCTGTTGCTTTTTGTTCTTTGATTTCAGTGCAGCGCTCCATGTACAAAGACCTGGTTCTGCTGCTTCAGAGGGATCAGTACTTGACTCTGTCTCAGCTCAAGTCCAAAGTAAATCTTTCCCCAACCTTTTATTCACTTGAAACAACATTAACATACCTAAGGTCACACTTAAAAACCTACTCTCTCTTCTTTTTGTTGACTTCAAGGCCTCTGAATTCCATTCCTCATTTCGTCTTTATCAAATGGAAATAAAGTCTTCCAAAAGTGCCAGGACATGCTTTATTTGTGTTATATAGTGGCAATTAAAATGGACCTATACAAATCTGAGGGGCCCCAAGATGATTTGAAGAAAATCAGAAAAATACATAATCTTTCTGTGAATTACTGAATAGTTTTACTCCTTAATGGGACCATATTTGCATCCTCTGACTAAAAGTAGTTCTTGACTTGCTGAGTCCCTAAACACCCTGTAAATGAGGGTTAGCCCAGTGGTTAGCCCAGTGGGTCCAAGGCCCGGCCACCGGATGCTTGCCGTCAAGCTTCCCTCCCTCCCTGTCTATCTGTCTCCGGGAGCGGGCCTCTGTATCCCTGTTCCAGGTGAGGTGCTGCAGCTCCTTCTTGGCCAATTTTACAAATGGTCTGTGAATGGGTCTTAGACTGGCCCCTATCCCTGGGACCAATTTACCTTGGGAGACCCTACCAGGAGCCAATGACAACACAGCTCCCAGGATTGCAGGGACAAGAAAAGCCCTCTACCACGGAAGGTGGCAATTCATCAGAGGAGACAATGTTATCAAACTACCATATAAAACAATGTGATAGTGGTCGCCCGTAGTGATTACCCTACAGAGAATTACTAACTGAATCTTCAGCTTATTGTTAGCTTTTTTCATTTCATTTTCGGCCACAGCAGGCAGCTGTTTTCAGCGAACAGGCTCTGATAAACCCACTGTACCCCACAGTGAATTTCAGGTCCTTGGGCAAATGGCTGAGGTTCACTGAAAGTTCTTCCGGCACATCTTTTGTTTTTGCCCAAGTTAGGCAGGTACCAAGAAATTTGATCTTAATGGTTATCGGTGACTTAGGAGGATTGCTTGTTGTGCTCACCAATGTGTGGTTTTTGATAGGTTGCAATGCTTTTTTTTTTTTGTTAGAAATAATCTTTATGTTGTGTTTTTTTTTTTAACATGTATGTGTAATTGAGAAAACAAAACCAGATAACATGACATAATGCAGTTTAAAATATATATTTTTCTAATTTTTATGAATAGTACTTTGAACAAAAGTAGAGCTGATTATGGATTTGTGTGTTGCAGAGAGCCTCTAGTAGACAAACTTTGCAATGGGAACACTCATAATTGATGGAACTGTTTTCTGTCTCTTGTTTCGTTTTTAATTTTCATTTATTGGCTGTTTAAACAGAGATACCAAAAAATTACATAATCAAGTAGGTGTCAAGTTCACCATATCCACCTAAATGGTGACAATATGCCAATGTTGTGTTCACAACTTGTTTCTGCTGCTAGACATCAATATGCAGATTCCAATATTAGTAAAATATTGATTTATCATGTAATGTTTCATGTATACAATCTGTGACACAACTTATTATTATTTATTTCCCATTGACTGACACAGACCAGTCACCTGGTAACTAATCAGTGTAGACATTGATTCATCAGTTGATTCATGAAACATGATGTAATTCTCAACAACAGGATCAACTTTCATTGTAGTAAGATATGCATTCAGCAGCTTTGTGAAGAGCTCTTAAGAGGAAATTCTTAGTAAGGAATTTATAATGCCGTTCTAGTGGTGAGATAAGCGTATTTGTGAATACAGCCACTGGCCTCTAACAATCTGAATAATCACTCTTTGGTTGGAATGCGCTTGTGTTATGGAAGGAGAAACACTGTGGTTTCTGTGCAGGGACACTGGTGTTTAATGGCTCTCTTTCTGTGGTCCAGGGGGAGTTTTCCTTTGAGCAGGACAGTCTGGTGGAGGGAGGTCGATCAGGTCCCATGACTAACGGTACAGAGTACAGAGAGGTTCGACAGTACCGCTCTGACCACCACCTGCTGCGTTTCTATTTCCTGACACGGATCTACTCACCGTACATGGAGAGCATCCTGGAGGACTTCAGGCAAGGGCTCAAACCTGATGTCATTATCATCAGCTCCTGTGTGTGGGACATCACCAGGTAATATAGCTACTTATTCTATCCATAAACACTTCGTCAAGTGATAACAGAATGTTGTATATGGAGGGAGGTGGTGACCCCTGTCTATTCAAAGATGGCGTCAGACGTGAACAGCATCCTTGATCTTACTCCAGTCATCCACTGACTACTGGTTGATGACCTTTCTTTCCCAGCGGATGCTGTAAAGGTTTTTGTCTGGTCTTCAAAATGTGTCTATTGTCTGTTTTCTTTCCTGGGGGGCATCCCTGCTACTAATTTAACACAAGCATTCACACGATCCTGCCTCCATATAATATATATCCGTAAAGAGGTGAAAAAAGGGTGCAGCACCTTAACACCAATAAAACAATGAGATTCATGAATGATTGGCTCTCGTGAATCATATTTGCTTTTCTCACATTATCAGATGAGAACATTTAACTAACAGTGTTTGTGCTAATAAGTGTTAAAAAATAGTCCAGTAATTTACAGTAATATTATTTAATAAATGATTATAAATATGAATGAAATACCAATAACCTCAAACAGTTTGTACTTAAAGATTTCTTCATCCTGTGTCTTTTCCAGAGCAACTGAAACTATATGTGACACTTTCTTGTCCATGCTTTGTTTCATTCTCTCACACGTTTGATGCAGAAGCGTGTGCCGTTTTGTTTCTCAGTCTGTACGTTTGGGATGGCATGCCATGCTCAGTTCTCATGTCACATAGGTGTCCACAGTCATGTGACACGGAGCTGGCGGAGCTGTTTTTTGGGACAAACATCATACAAAAGCACTAAAAACGTTTAATTGATGCGGCCCGCCCACGTTATTGTATTCATATCATTTTATTATATATATATTTTTTAAAGGTATCGATACCAGATTAGTAGCTGGTGAGGATCACTCCACCCAACCCTACTTTTATCCGTTCTATTCCACTGTTTAGAGAAATAAAGTATTAAATTAAGTCTAACATTTGTGTTATCAGCACAAGGGTGACACATTGCTTTAGCTGGCCAATCACAGCACGGTATTGGACTTGCTCTGAGGCGTCCTACTCTGACTCAAATGTAAAAGATGTCGTTTTCTAGTTGTTTTTTTGCTGTATTGTTCCAAGATACTGTTCCTGGGGCACTTGTAATAGTTACAGTCGCTACCCAGAGAGGTTGACGAGAAGTACGATTTATTCTCTTTCCGAAACCTAAAACAAATCCAGAAAGATGTAGGCTGTGGATTGTCCCTAATGTAATGTAAGTTAGCTAACGCTAGCTAACTTACTACTGAATGTAACATTATATAACCCCACTGCTCTGCTTTTTAATGATCGTAATCGTGAATAGAGACCTGCCAAGCTGCACAGGAACGATGTTGATCCTTAATATCGTTTTCCTCTTTCTCAATAGTCAGGTGATGAAGTGGTTCACTTTTACCCTGTGATCGGTAGACTTTAGCTTCTGTCCTTATTTGTTTCACATCAGTTGGACAGCCTGAATAAAACCTTCAAATGCACAACAGTCTGCTTCTTTCTGAGATCGCTTTTTTCAACAATTTGACAATATTTCTCCAGGGAGAGCGCCGTGATAAATACGACATGTCTGACAATTTACATATATTAACTATATAGATATTAACTATCAAAGAAGCAGTAGGCCTTTAAGCATTAAGCAGAAAAGCCACACTGTCTTGAGTTGTTATTATTATTTTTTTTCCCAGGTGTATTGTTTTATAGAGAATATTTCTGACAGTGAGAAAAGTGTCCTCATGCCACTAATCGACAGAGCGGCATGACGGTGAGCTCGAAGCTCTGTGTGGAGCCGGGACATGGTCATGTATGCTTTATGCTATAGGCTGCTGTTGGTAAAGGAGGGATGGGAAGTTCTTTCACTGCTGCAGGTTATTTCTCCGACTTTTTCAGAATTCTGAAGATGTTGACTGAGTGAGAGCATGTGCGAGGACGGGGGCTGTGCAGCGTATGCAAGAACGGTGATTAACATTAGGGAGCAGTGGATTCTTGCAAATGGCATTAGGAACAGTAGGAGGTCACAGATTATCTGTCTCATGTCCTACTGTCAGAACATAGTGACCGTTTAGGAAATATGACAGTTATTTTTATAAAAGTTACTTACTGAAGACGATATTGAGCCAAAGCTTAATGGACAACAACAATAAAGCTGAAGTTAAAGTCCAACTGATGACATTTAGTCATTCCAAAAATATCAACGTGTTTATAAAATGTAAGCTACTGTTAATAGTTTGTTATTAAAAGGAAGAAAAACATTTTCAAGGCTGACCTATAACCAATATTTGGAACCGATATGCTGTACAGTTGCAGTAAAAATGAAAATCTTATACCAAGTTTTACACCAAAACTCACACACAGGTAGGTTTTTTCCCCTTTCACTTTGCCAGTGGACGAGTTTGCATTTTCTGTCTTGCAGAAAGCAGTGTGGAGGCACTGCAAATGAAACATTGTCCCTGGACAATGTTATAGTGTGCATTTTCAGTGCTATAACTGGGAAACTGGACACATAGTAGAAATAAACCATAAGAGGCAGTCTGCGAATGCTTTGCTCTTTACCCAGACTGATGGACTGATGCTATTACTCGGGACTTGTAGCCAATGCTCTGGGTGGGACATTGACTGAAACTACAGTCTGGTGACTAAAGATGTATTAATTTATTTTATTGGCAATTGTTGAGAATTATTGTGAGCCCGCTGTCAGGTGTGAAGAAGTTTTGGAGACTGATGAAGACTTAACATAGCATGGTTTATTGAGCCCGGCCGAGGAGACACAGTGCTGGCCTACAACATGAGAACATGTCAAATGCCAACACCAAATCTGAAGGATAACATCTTGTGGTCCCTTTTATGTTTCTCTTTTCCCCCTAGTGCCTGTAGGTTTCTCTATTAAGTCACCTTCACCTAGAACATCTGATGTTTAGATTCCAACGCTTCGTCATATTGGAATCTCTCACTATCCAAGAGTTGTACTCTAATCTGTGGAGCCAGTTAGTTCTTGTAAACATTCTTGTATGGCTCAACCTTGTAAGATTCCCAGAGAACACTGATATCTGCTAGACTGACGTCTGAGCTACTGTCTCTAGCTAATCAGTCTATTGTTGTCTTCTTGATGAGGACGTGTGAGAAATACCTAAAGCTATAATGCAAACACTTATGGGGTCAGCTACATTACTCCAAGCTAGACCTGTCTTACCTTTCCCTGTTACATCAAATAAGACACCTAAGAAATATTCTGAACAGCAATCTCTTTTTTTTTTTTTTTTTTTTTTTTTTTTTTTTTTTGAAGTTCCAATTATTATAAAAATGTTTAATGAGAGCTTACCATCCTCTCCCTGTTCTTACGGGAACCAGATTTGAAGCGTTGCAGACTAGAGTTATGCAGTTTGGTGAAAGTGTCCTTCTGGTCCATACGTCTAGTCACCCGGGAGCTGTTGAAAGTGTATGTAGCAGAGCACACCTTAATAAAGCACACAGAACGAGCACACTGGGACAGTGCCAGCTACTCAGAATGGCTGCTCCCAGCCTGAGGCTCTTTGGCTGCCAGCTGCCTGGGATCCAATTTCAAGCCATTTTTCAGTCACTGGGAGCTCCCCACCATGTGTCATGTAACGTTCAGCCGTTTCATATTTTCTGATTACTTTAACGGCCACGTGTGAGTGAGACAATGGCTAAAACTAATGTAATAGAGTAGTGGTGGTGTTCTTATCATCATCAAAACAAGGAAATTAAGACTATTTTCCCCCAGAAATTGATCTCAGCACGCCATCTTGAAGGATATCTCAATTCCTAAAATGCACCTCAAGGACAGAGGAGGCGGGACGTGTGTCCTTTGCAGAAGTTGTGACGTATAAAAGAGGCGTGACACACAGCTGGAATATACAGGTGCTGGTCATATAATTAGAATATCATCAAAAAGTTGATTTATTTCAATAATTCCATTCAAAAAGTGATACTTGGGTATTATATTCATTCATTACACACAGACTGATATATTTGTAATAATAATAATGTTTATTTCATTTAATTTTGATGATTAAAATTGACAACTAATGAAAATCTCAAATTCAGTAATGAAAATTAGAATATTACTTAAGACCAATACAAAAAAAGGATTTTTAGAAATGTTGGCCAACTGAAAAGTACGAGCATGTACAGCATGGTGTAAGAAGCTGTTGGAAAATGAAATCTGCATCTCCATAAAGTTGGTCAGCAGCAGGAAGCATGAAGTGCTCTAAAACTTCCTGGTAGACGGCTGTGTTGACCTTGGACCTCAGAAAACACAGTGGACCAACACCAGCAGATGACATGGCACCCCAAACCATCACTGACTGTGGAAACTTTACACTGGACTTCAAGCAAGGTGGATTCTGTGCCTCTCCTCTCTTCCTCCAGACTCTGGGACCTTGATTTCCAAAGGAAATGCAAAATTTACTTTCATCAGAGAACATAACTTTGGACCACTCAGCAGCAGTCCAGTCCTTTTTGTCTTTAGCCCAGGCGAGACGCTTCTGACGCTGTGTCTTGTTCAAGAGTGGCTTGACACAAGGAATGCGACAGCTGAAACCCATGTCTTGCATATGTCTGTGCGTGGTGGTTCTTGAAGCTCTGACTCCAGCTGCAGTCCACTCTTTGTGAATCTCCCCCACATTTTTGAATGGCTTTTGTTTCACAATCCTCTCCAGGGTGCGGTTATCTCTATTGCTTGTACACTTTTTTCTGCCACATCTTTTCCTTCCCTTCGCCTCTCTATTAATGTGCTTGGACACAGAGCTCTGTGAACAGCCAGCCTCTTTAGCAATGACCTTTTGTGTCTTGCCCTCCTTGTGCAAGGTGTCAATGGTCGTCTTTTGGACAGCTGTCAAGTCAGCAGTCTTCCCCATGATTGTGTAGCCTACAGAACTAGACTGAGAGACCATTTAACCGTTGCAGGTGTTTTGAGTTAATTAGCTGATTAGAGTGTGGCACCAGGTGTCCTCAATATTGAACCTTTACACAA